GATTTTTCCACATTTGGAGTTTCCTTGAAGTAAGATCCACCTATATTCTTTTGCTGTGATCTTCATCTTTACTGACTCGGGGTGACCTCATTTCAGCCCAGACCCAGAGCTGCTCTTCTGCCGGGGGAGCCCAGAACGCCCCTGAGTTTCGGCCTTCATTCCTGAGGCTGAAAGCTCTGACCTCAGGGGAGATTCGGGGGCTCTGGGATGGGTCACTCTCTGAGCTGTCGTCAGTCCCTGACACCCTCAGTGTAGGCAAGTTTTGACATCAGCATATCAGAATAACTGAGGCTATGGAAGGTTCTAGAAATCCTGAAGGGCAAACATGGGTGCCAGGGCACAGAAACTTCTTCCTCCACGCATCTGCCACATGGCCACCAAAGCCACATCAGGAGCTTCCCTCCAGGTTGGCTGAGAGTGTCATCGCGGTGGACGCTCAGGAACACCTGAGGCTCCCTGAAGCTGTGCTTCTCGGAGGCATGCGCCCACCGCCCCCGGGAGGGAGGCTCAGAGTGATGGGGGTGAAGAGCAGGAAGGAGAGGGGTCTTGAAGCATCTACTCATCAATTTTTTTCAGTGGTTCATAAGTCAAAACATTCTTATAAAATTCAGATGAGCAGGGAAGAGTTACAATGGGTTTACAAGATTTACGTGGCCCGTTAAAGTGTGACGACAACTCAGCACAACTTCTGGCTTGCTGAGGGCTTCTCAGGCAGTGTCCAGACCCACGGGACACTCTCCCTTTTCTCTGTCCTTGGGTGCTGTGATGTCTGAGATGCTAGTCCACAGCCGGCCGATCCTGTGGACCTGCAGAGCCTCCCAGCAGACGAGCCGAAAAGATCACTCACTCTCAGAGCCAAGGCCCTGAAAACCAGCCCCCCTCCTGCCCCCAAGGTAGCTTTCCCTGGGGGATTCTAGAAGGGACCTGACACTCAGCCGGTGGGGGAACTCCAGAGCCAATGGCAATTCTCTAGTGCGTGGCCGCGCTAAGAGCTACAGTCACTGTTCTCTGTGGGAGCCATTTTCCTGGGGGTGGAGAAAGGCTTGTGTGAGAAGTCAAGCTTGAAAAGACACCACCTGGAGCCGAAGGCACCTGTCCCCAGGCCTGGCCAACTTTCATCAAGCCTCGGTACCAGCCAGGCTAAGCTGTGGTAACAGTCAAACCCCCAATCCTGGGGCTTATGATGGCCAAGGTTTGTTTCATGCTCTTGTCACAAATACGCTCATCAGGGGTTGGCTGAGGGGTCCAGTCAACGTGTCCTCACTACACGATGCAGGCTAATAGAACAGCCACCTTCTCCGATATTGCGGCCACCACAGCAGCAAGAAGGAAATCTGCGGGGGGCCCCAACCTGTAATTAAATGCTCAGCCCAGAAATGACGCCTCACTGGCAGCACGCGACCGGAAGAGGCCAGAAAGCCCAGGCCCGCCGTGTCCCTCGAGGGAAGCCAGCTGGAAATATTCGGTGAGCACCGGCAATGACTACCGCAGCCTTTCGGGAAGGCCTGGGACTAAACCTTCAGGCTGTGTGCCCGGTCCCAAGGGAAAACTTCAGGCCCAAAGGAGCAGCCGGAAAAATGGAGGCTTGTGCATGCTGCTGTAGCTGCCTGAGGAAGTGCCCTCGGGGGCTCCTGGAGCAGTGGCCGCTACATCCGGACAGTCTGGCCTGGTGCTCCCGGCCTCCCCGGTCTCTCATGTCCACTCCTGTTCACCAGGCTGCCCAGGCTCCTTCTGGGGGAGCTTCAGGTGCTCAATGACCAGCCACCTTAGGTTTTTCTAGGAGGGTGAAGGAGGTGGGGTTGGCAGTGGGTGGGTCACTGTCTGACTAGAGGAAAGTGATGAATTCTTGAGACCACAGTTCATCACACCACATGTCACAGTCAGCTAAGATTTGCACTAAGTAATTACTTTATGCTCTGTAAATATCCCTGTATCAGGCACTGTAGGGAGAAAAAAGCAATAAGATATAGCGCCTGCTCTCGAGACACTTGTGTTCAACGAGGTGAGTTAGGACACTCTTACCTCGTGTAAACATTTTTCTCCAAGCGTCAAATAAATGGTACCCATATTAAAATTTATGAGCTTGGCCAAGGCAGAGTTGGCTGCGGGCTTGATTGGGATGGAAAGGCTTGGTGGAAGCGGTGGGGCGTGAGCTGGCCTGGGAAAGATGGGGGCGCCAGGTGCCTAAGAGAAGGGGAAAGAAGACAAAGCACGAGAGTGAAAATCCTCATGCCTGCCGTGACACGTATGTAGACGGACTGGGCAAAAAAACACCTGGAAATGGTGGAAAGACCACTGAGGTCCTGAATATCAATCCTGGGGGTGGGGGGAGGGCTGGGGGTGGGGCTCGTCTTTGTTCTTTTTGCAAAAGGGGGCTGGAGGGCCAGCGACCAGGGAGGCTTTGCAATGCTTGGGTGGAAGGTTGAACTCCTCATTATGTCCCAAACTTGGCTGTGCCTCAGAGCCCCCCACCCCTCCCCACCCCCAATCCCTACGAGAAGCTCATTAAAAATAGACCTGCTTTTAAAAAAGTTTTCCCCACAATACTCAGGACCCATCCCTAGATATTTTGATTTAGTCAGTCTGGGGAGGGATCCAGAAACCCATCACCTTCACTCGGATGAGGTGGATCTGAGAATCTGCTAGGCTAGGTCATTTCTACCTAGAGATGGCGCCGACATAGATCAAAAGTGGAATTTTTAAAAACTCACATTCCTGAAAACTAGCTCTCATTTCTGATCGTTTTATTTCTGTCACAGGTGGAGGCTCCCTTCATTCGGTCTCGTACCTTAGCACTGTCCTGGAATGTTTTTCACGTGAACGCCACATGAACTTGGTGACCACCACTTCCTGCTTATTCTTTACCGCTCTCTCAACTCTGTTCTTCCTTTCTGTTCCCACTCCCCCACATTTGGTCAGACCTTTTCTCGCCTCGAGCTTGGACTTTCGCAGGAGTCGCTTGACTAATCTCTGATCCCTCCGCACATCGCCTTCAGGTAAATGTCTGTCCGCCCCATAACGGAGGGGCAGGGCAAGTCCTGAGAGCTGCGGGTGTCAGAAAACAGCTGGGCCAACATCCGTGAGAAAAAAATAAGGTGCAGGGAACAGACCTGCGGAAAGAGTTTAAGTGTCGCCCCCACCCCCACCACCAGCTCCTACCGAGGTTCCACTTTTATACACAAAGAAGAATGCATCGGGTGACCCCCCCAAGCTGTAGGTTCAGCGGGGCTGACGACGAGAAGGCAAAGGGCAGGTTAAGACCCTGGCTGCTTGCCCTCAAGTCCCACAGAAGCCTGGAGCACGTGGTGCGCGCTTTCCTCCTCCCGAGGAGCCCCGCTTAGAGGAAATGCAGCCTTGTGGCCACGTGGGGGCCCCCTTCAGAGGCTCCCTGCTTCCGCCGGCTACGATTCGCCTCTTAAGTTTTTCCAATTTATTTACTTTCTCTCCTTGTTTAAAAATACCATTCTTGTTATTACAAACTGTTATAATATTGTTAACACAATTTTAAAATTTGAAAAAGTTCTAAAATTACAAAAACGGCTTGTGGTCTCACTGTTAAACTCATTAGACTCTTTAGACTATACGCTTCCAAACTTGTCACTATATATGGATAATATGTTACACACACACACGCATATATATAAATATATATTACATATATATAATATATATATTACGCACATATATATTCGTTTTAAAAATAAAAGTGGGATCATTCTGGACAGGCGTCTCTTAAAATATCATGAACAACTTCCCATACCAAGTTCTTCACCATAGTAACTTTAAACGATGGTATTGTGTTCCTCTGTTCATTCCACTGAAAAAAAATTATAGGTAATAAACACGTTATAGAAAGTTCTGAGTGGCTGCCCATTGGGGTTTACCTATTGTTGGGAGAATTTTTTGTATTTCAGACCAAAGGTAGATGTGAGCTACAGCTGCCTGATAAGTAACTGCACATTAAGAAGCCCAAATCGCCAGGCGGGACCTGGATAAAGCCGCAGGGGCGACGTGGCCGGTGCCCTGGGGGAGAAGGCGCGGGTCCCCTGGGGCTCGCAGCGGGAGTGGCCGCCGTCGGCGCGGTCCCCGGGGGCGGCCCGTCTGGCCTCCGGAGCCAGGAGATTCTTTTTGATCACCGAGTCCCTCGCGGCGCGGGGGCTCCGAAGCCCGAGGCGCGGCCCGCGGCAGGTCGGGCGCGGGGACCGGACGGTGACTC